CACCACATGGTCCCTGGTGAGTGGTGTTGGTCCATACCCGGGAATAGAACTTGGGCCGCTAAAGCAAAGCACGCTGAACTTAACGACTAGGCCATGGGGCTGGCCCCAAATTCTTTTGCTCATTAAAGTCTCCTTCACTTATTCTTAAATTATGTCTAAAGTGTGTGAAATTGGCTATTTTATTTTACAGTGCTAAGATGTAACTCACACATGAATTGTGAGTTTGTTTTAAAAGGACGTTTAATGAATTTCCTCTAGTCTCCTATATTTGTTATAACTGCCAAATAATATTTTATGACTTCTACTCATTCAGTTGTTAAAGTTTTCAAAACATTTCGTTATAATTCCTTTCTGAAGAGAACAACAAAAACAATCTTCTCCTTTGGTAGTCAAGAAATATCATAGAACCTGAGTAAATACTTAAAAAGACACCTGATGCCTATAGTAATACTTTGCGAAATGTCTGTTTGATGAGGGTCCACACAGAGGGCAGGTGCTCCCACAGAGGATCTGTGAGTGGGAGAAGTGGAACACTAATTAGTTCGTACTTTCTCCAGGAGTGGTAAATTCTGTAATGCCATAAATTATGCTTATCAGGATGTCTTAAATTATTGATTGATCAGTGCAGAGATACACAGACAGAGACAGTCATTTGGAACTTGTTAATAATGCTTGAGAAGCTGACACTTTCTTAACTTCTAGTTAAATATAATGGTTGACTTTTTGTTTGAGGAGACTTAGAATATTAGCAGGATGCATTTGCTTCATGTTTTGAAAAATGTTATTTGGCCAGGATTGCTTTCCAAATAAAGATTATTTACAAAGGACATATGGTTCCAATTCCAAAGCCAAGATTATAGTTCTGGATATTTTTATTTTGAAAAGAAATTCCATATGTTTAATCTATAATCAAGAGTATGAGTATAAATGTTTTTATACATAGTTGCCCCCTCTTTCATCTGTGTATGTATGTGTGTGAGTGTGTTGGTGTCTGTGTGTGTCAAGATGAGTACATAGATATTCTATGATGTGTGTTCATGTAAAGACCTATTATTTGCCTGAGAAGATATTGCTTATGGAGTTTTTAGAGATAAAAGTGTACATTTATGCTCTAATATTAAGTTAAAAATTGTAGCTTCTTTGCAATTACAACTCTATAAACAACAACAATAAAGCTATGCAGGGGCCGGCCCTGTGGCTGAGTGGTTAAGTTCTCACACTCAGCTTCCTGGCTGCCCAGGGTTTCTCTGGTTTGGATCCTGGGCGCGGACATGGCACCACTTGTTGGGCTACGTTGAGGTGGCATTCCCACATGCCACAACTAGAAGGACCCACAACTGAAATATACAACTATGTACTGGGGGGATTTGGGGAGATAAAGCAGAAAAAAAAGAAGATTGGCAACAGTTGTCAGTTCAGGTGCCAATCTTCAAAAAAAGAAAAAAGAAAAAAAGCTAACGCAGAAAAAAATAAAAAGAAATACATAAAAATGTTCCCATTAATTATTTGCAGTTAGAGAAGTATGAGTGATTTCTTAATTTCTTCTCTCAGTTTTTAAAATATTTTCCATAATAAAAATTGACTGCATTTTAAATGAAAAGGGTTTTCCTCAATTAGAAGGAATTTCTTTCAAAAATAATTTTTTAGCATAGCAAGATAGGGGCTTTTTATAAGCCCATATCATTTCCTTTATTTTCTCATCTAGTAGTAAACAAAATGAATAACTGTTGGATCATTAGCACCACATAGAAAAATTCATACTTTAAATCAAAGACACTTAAGAAAACTTATATGGAAAAGTCATATTTCAAATACTTCTTTTGTTCATTCTTTCTAAATGTGATACTTGTCATTGAGTATGACTAATATTTAACAAAAATGGATATAATGTGTTTTATTCCAATCAGGCTCAACTTACTTTTAAACTCATTGCTGTGATTGAATGGCATGTACTTTTAAAACTCTGTATAACTTCACCAGATGTAGGCTTTTTCAATTGTATACTTTGCTAATAGAAATTTCAAACTATATTTTCAAAAAGTGATCTGCCTAGTTTTAACCAAACCTAGTGGGATGAACAGATTTTCTTAAATTAAAAAGTCATCGTCATTATCAAATTTGTCATCAGTGCACTCTCTAATTCTTTAATAATATACTATCCCGCCTAAGACATCTTTAGCTCAAATAGATACTAGGAGGAAGACAGGATTTTTTTTTAATAAGTTGAGTTCTCAAAATTACTGTGAGTTTTAAATGTGTAAGAACACAATCTCAATATATCCAAATGCATTTGGAAAGCCAAATTGTATTGGTTGTTGCTCTCTGGTTTTACCACATAATAGTCTTTGGTTCCTATCTGTCAATGCCTTTTCACAACGTTTTGGATTTGGTTGTATTAAAAATGTCTAAGTATTGTAACGTACAGGAGGGGGTGTTAGTAGAATATATATGATAATCCTGTACGTGCTGCAAAATTGCAGTCATCTTGGACGAGTAACTTAAAATCCCTGTACTTAAATTTCATATTATCTATAAAAACAGAAAATCAACCAGATAGTGTCAATTTTTTCATAATGAAAGAAAGTATTTTACTTTACAATGTAAACACATCTACCCTGAGGATGTTTTTCTAAAAGTAGACTTTCTCTAAGCAATGACCAAGACACTCCATGGAAAGGTGGAAAAGTTACCATATAAAGAACAATGGCAAAAATCATATCTGAACATTATTCTCAACCATGGGAATTATATTTATCATTTATTTTATCATTAATTATATACTGATGAAAATTTTATAAGGACTGCTGCCTATTGCTCATTCATTCAGCCTACATTCATTTGATGTTCGTTAATATAACTCATTACGGAAAACTTTCCACTAGATTATGATTCTTGATTCCTTGGCCTTCTGTCTAGTCATTTTCTTTTGGTCTCTTTTTGTATTAGAAATAGTGTATTTAGCCCAGCATTCTAGTTACCCTGTCCCCCGATGAGATCTTTACTGAAGGGCTTGGGATAATAGTTGCTCCGTTCCCCTTCAACCAGCCCAGAAGCAGAGCATCAAGTTCTTCTGTATAGGTTTAGGGGAAAAAAAAGCGTATGTTAAAGTGATTAAGCAACCTTTAAATTTAAATTAGCAAACATCCTGTATGTTTCAGGACCTGACGATGCATATTTTGTTGTTTAATATTCACAACACACAAAGCCATTCACATGTGTTCAGATTCAAGACGTTTAAAATTAAAATGTAATTTCTTACAGCATTTTAAAATTCTCCATCCACATATAGGATATTGCTAGAGATTCATTACTTATCTTCAAGGCATAGTGTTTGGATAGGAGCCTCAGTGTATGTTTTAAGAGTATGAAGAAGGATGATCGCCTCCTTTCTTGTCAGTCTTCACACTTACTGGCTTGATGACTTTAGGTCAGTTTCTTAACTCATGCCTTAGTACCCTCATCTATAAAATGGAGATAATACTAACTCATAGGATCACTGTAAGAGTATTTGTCATTACATGCACAGTATTTGTTACTACATGTAAAGCACATAGAACAATGCCTGGCATATAAGCGCTATGTAGGTGAGGGCTCTGATTATTATGTGAGCACTCAGATTTCTGAATGCAGACTTTCCTTTTGTTCCTTCATTCAGTCTAGTTCAGCGGTTGCCAAAAGTGTAGTGCACAAAAGAGTTACTGTATCTGATTGCATTCAGTAATTTTCAAGTATGATTCTCTTCTTTTTAATATTTTTTTTTAAAGATTGGCACCTGAGCTAACAACTGTTGCCAATCTTCTTTTTTTTTCCTGCTTTTTTCTCCCCCAATCCCCCCAGTACATACTTGTATGTTTTAGTTGTGGGTCCTGCTAGTTGTGGCATGTGGAACACCACCTCAATATGGCCTAATGAGCGGTGCCATGTCAACGCCCAGGATCCGAACCCTGGGCTGCCAAAGTGGAGCACGCAGACTTAACCACTTGGCCATGGGGCTGGCCCCCTCAAGTATGATTCTTATGTGTGTTTGTGTGTGTATTCATTTTGTCCTGATTCTATAACATCTTATATTATAGATATATAATAGATCAGACTTCACTGTATAAAGTAAATCTGAACACAGTTCTAGGTACATAATAAAATATTGAGGATATTGGGTTTAAACAGTTACATTATTCTTCTTTGTTCACGCTAAAGTCAATGTCTTCATTACCCCAAAATAAGTTGAATTTTCTATAATTTTCTCCTTTCATTTTTCTATCTTTGGCGTATTTATTTTGCCTTTGAAGATTAGTTTATTATTTTGTTAAGTGGAGACAATGGTGCCTGTCTTTTACAGTTTGTTCGAGCATTGGAATTAATATATGTTCATGATAATTAAAAGAACAGTGCAGGGGCCAGCTGGTGTCGTAGTGGTTGGTTTCTTGCTCTTTGCTTTGGCAACCCAGGGTTTGTGAGTTCCAATCCTGGGTGTGGACCCACACACTGCTCATCAAGCCGTGCTTTGGGGGTGTCCCACATACAAAATGGAGGAGGATTGGCACAGATGTTAGCTTAGGGCTACTCTTCCTCAAGCAAAAAGAGGAAGAGTGGCAACAGGTGTTAGCTCAGGGCCAATCTTCCTCACCAAAAAAAAAAAAAGACCAGTGCATACAGTAGGCATTCCATAATTAGTAGATCTTGTTGTTATTTCACCATTATAACTGACTCATTAACTTTGTGATATATGTCATTTTGTGTGTCACAGACTTTATTCCACCCAATTCTTTTGCCAGATATGGTTCTAGGTGTTGGGAACTATAGAGGTGAACAAGATTGAAGAGATCCCTCCTCTGAGAGTTTATATCATTGTCTGAAATATTTCTTAATGATGTAACTAGATTAAGTATCTAATTCATTTACATTTAGATTCTTTTAGATTGTTTCAATATATCATTGACTGGGTTGTCATTGTTACAACTTTGTAGAAGATTTATCCTAATCACCATGTTTTCCTCTGGCAGCTCTTTTAAGCATTTGATCGGAGGACTGGATGATGTTTCTAATAAGGCATATGAGGATGCAGAAGCTAAAGCAAAGTAAGTGACATTTTTTCTTTGGCCTTAATCTTGATTTTTAAAAAGTTGATTTTGAATAGACATAAGATCAAATGTTTTGTTGGACTTAAAGTCGAACACTCTGACAGGAAGAAACTAATTAAGAGGAAAAAGAAACAAATTATTCAAGGTAATTACTACATAGTATGCTTACTTAGTAAGTACGTATCTTAAACATGAAACCTTAATTTTGTGAAGAAGATCATCTCAACAAGGGAAAATGGTTAGTTTAAAATCCAATATACACAATTGAATGTAATACGTTATTTCTCTCACTAAAAATATTTTCTCAATGAATGGTAGTTGTGTTCAATAGTGTTTGTGAAATTGTACGAAAAATAATAAGGCTAGAAATATTTCCTGTGTGAATACATTGTTGCCTTACACTGAACTTCGTTGACACTAAATTGTCAGAATGATATGAGACAGTACATATCCCATTAATCATCAGTTTTGTACAACAAAATACAATTTTATCTACAAGAATAATTTACTTCAAAACAAAGGTTTAATTTTTTTGAAAAAGATTCGAAGTAATCTGAGATTGGCTTTTTCTGCAAACATTTTAGATTACTTTATGAAAACCTAATCTCTATAATCCTCCTTTCTTCTCCCTAAGGCAGTAACTTAAGTAAATGGATATCAAATCTAGTATTTGATATCATAGAGGATACCAAAAGGATTAAATTGACAAAATTTATTGGTAAATAGATAATTCAGGGCCAGAATTTGATTGGTTGGTTTTGTAGTAACCTAAAAGTTAAAAGAAAGAAATCATTTATTTTGCCTTGAGAATCTATAAAGATTAAAAATTTGGCCTAGAACTGAAGAACTAAGGGCTACAATTTACGTTGACCTAATAACATCCCATTATTCTCCAAGTTGAGTAAATATATTCACAACGTCTTCTTTACACAGTATGCTTTTGTTCCCTCTGCTCTTTGGAGGGACAGACTTACATCCTGAGGTCAGATGCCAGCAGTGCCTCTGCCAAGATTTGCTCAGGAAATTACACTGGCCTGTTTTAACCCCAAATTCCACATCATCATCAATATTGCCTGTACTGTGGGTGATATTAATTTTTATGATTTTCTCCAATAGGTTAAAATATGCATTAGTGCTAAATTAGACTTTAGTTTCTGGTATTAGCACTAATCCAACTGAGATGATAGAGGGCGGCATTTAAGGTACTTTATTAGTTTTAAAAGTTATAAAACTCCATTTGTTATTATTGGACTTTATTCCTAGAAGAGCATTTAGTTGCTATGTAAAAACTAGTATTTATACTTTATGTTAGCATATTCTTCTTAAATATATATATTAAATTAAAATTACCATGGGTCATTTTATACATGTGTATCATATTATACACATTTATATGTATATATATATATATATATATATATAACTGGTGGTAATCTTAAAAATTCATCTAAAATCTACTTGAGCAACTATCCAAATATTCTTAGAGTTGCTAGAAAAAGTAAAAGGTCTTTTAAACTAATGTATTCTATGATCTATTTCTGTTACCCTGTTAATCTTTAGACCGATTCTCTAATGAAAGTTTTGCATAACTCTTATTTACGCTACCCAAAGTCAATGCCTGTCACAGGCTTAAAATTGATCAGTGATGGGAAAGTGACTGTGAATTAATCATCTCCTTCTCAGTGTACTATTGGCTTTATAATGATAACTGTGTGTGTCTTGTGAGTTCGTGCCATTCATGGGTTCACTTTCATGTGCTTCAACTAAAGGTAGAAAGGAAAACAAATACACTGAAGGTCAGATTCAGACAGTTAGGAGATTGATGTGGCAACATTTCTTCCTATTAGAAAATAATTGGTCAATATGAAAACTATGACCCTGAATGAGGGCCAGAAACCTCGTGTACTGCTCCTGGCTTTGTTATTCCCAGCCAAGTGATCTTGGTCATGACTCAACACCTGTTTCTCAATCTCATTATCTTACTTTTAAAATGGTATTTTTGAGACTTAATTGTTGGCAGTATATAAAAAGACTTTGAAAATTATAAAGGGCTGTACAAGTGGATGATATTGTTTGTAGAAGTAATCATTGGAAATGTACCCCAATGCATTTGATGTATGGTAGGATTTACAGATGATTATTGTGTATCTATTGTGTAAAACTAATCTTACCTGGGCAAAAAGTCTCTAATTTTATGTATGCAAAATACTCCTATTTTAGTACTATATCGTGAAATTAAACCTAGCCTGGAAAAAGTCCATGAATATCATTTTTATAAAAATGGTAACATTTTGTTAAAAGAAAGTTCAATTATGATTAAAGAATGAAGACAGGCGATGAAATGACTGCCTACTTCTAAGCAATTCAAATTATTTCAACCATAAATTTGATAGATTGTAAATTTGCCATTATATTTATACTTGAATATAAGTCAATTGGGACAGGTTAGTTTGAATTTTTCTGTTCAATTAATACTGAATCCAAATGAATGCATAGCCCACATTCCTTAACATTGATTATTATTTAGAAAATGAAAATGGCTTGAGGAAAAAATGTCCAAAACCATTGATCCGAATTTTAGAGAGATTGATAAAATAACCTTTATTCCTCAAAATATCCAACTAAATAAATAGATAAATGGTGGGGGAGGTGTTCTGCCTTTTACAGGGTTAGCATTTTTAAGGTTTCTAGTAAATAATTAATATTCGAAGACTTCTGAAGTTGAAAGCTTCTTTTTAATTAGATGTCTTATCACTCAGAGATGGCAAACTGTGAATTATTCCCCAGGGAGAACTTCTTAGTTGAACTAACAAGTTTAAGCATTTATTTATGTTGGCACTGTTGTCTCTCTCTCTATTGGATTTCTTCCCCTTAAGTAGGATTTCTTGCCCTTCACTTTGTATTTAAGAAACTTAGGAGGTGTGCCAGCATTGAAGGAATAGGAACAGGTTGTAATTGGTCTAAATTCCCTGGGTAATTCTGTTAATGCCTTTAAATTTCTATATAAATTGCAAAATCTATACCATTTAGAGTTGAGGTGTTGATTTGGCTCCACTGTGTAAACTTTATTTTTTTAAGGTCCCCTTGATTTTGCAAAATCCACTGACAATAAGATTAATATTTCTTAAAACCCAACTAAAATGATCATATTATTTATCCATGTGAAATTATTATTGGTATTGTCGCATTGACTATGCCTATTTGGATAAAAAGAGAAAAAAGTAGGACTGACTGTAAAAATTCAGTTGAGATGTTTAGAGAGTTTGTGAGCAACTCATCAGCTGTTAGCATAATCCAGTTCAATGGCAGAATGATTCCACCAAATGTACAGACCATCCCTTTCAGGAAAAACTATAGCAAGTATTTGGCATGGGTGGCTGGTCCAGAAACATTGGCTTGAGAGAAATACCCCAATGAAATAGTTCCCCAGACTCCTCTCCTGCAGGCTATGTGCTCTCGGCCTGTCTCATGAGATGTAGTTCCTACAACGAAAATTATTCTTGGCAGAAACTTTACCTGTATGGCATGTTTAAGCTTCTCTTGATTGCTGCTGATTATCCACTGAGGGCTTCTCTTTTTGAAATCTGAAGTTGTAATTCCAAAGACATTAGAAGAGATAACATCAGATCAAAGTTAAGGATCATTAAACCTTATTTAGAGAAGAAAGTAGTATGTGTGATGAAAGGTACACATTATTTTCCCTTGAGAATATGTATTCATTCATTTAATAAACAGAAATTTACTCGTGATGAGTCAGGCCTTGTGCTTTACAATGTGCATACCACATATTTTCTGATACTATGGATCTTGCAGATTAGTGGGGAGACGTGTAACTCAATGATTATTTTCACTTTTCAGTTCTAAGAATAAGTGATGATACTTATTGTGATATATCACTGTTTAGGTAGAGAGCCCCATCTCCATATTTATACCTTGTCTTGTAAAAAACATAACCATCCAGAAGTATGAAATAGAAAAAGTAAATGTTTTACTTCATTGTAAGTATTTCTGATATATGAATACAGATTATTTCTTAAATAAAATATTTTCAAGTTATACTATCATTGATGTCTTAATTGCTGAATACTGTATGCAGCAGTTACAGACAAAACAGCTTTTTCTGAATAAAAAGTCTCTGTACTGCACCTTAGCTTGTTAATTATAATACTTGATCATAAAAATCTTTAATATAAAAGTTTCATTCTAATAACATGATTTACATATACCACAGCTATATTCCCAGATTATGGTCATACAGAGGGAAAAACAAAACAGCAAATTAAACATTCGGTGTTTTATTTACAGTGATGTCTATTTTTATTAAGATGTATATTTTCACTTTAATAGAATATAGTAAGATAGATAAAAGAAAAAAATCACAATCTAAACTAATCAAGCACAACTGCTATGATTTATCTGCGTTTTATAATTATACTTACAGTGCATTTACAACTTTATATCTTGCTTTTTTCTTCCACTTAGCATCCATTATATTATAAACATTTATAATACTATTATATACATTTCATAAACATCATTTTAATGGTAGCCTGATAAAACCATGAATGGACACCTAGTATTTTAGACTGATTTAAGTTGTACCCTTGTTGATTCAATTCGTTGTGCTTTTGAAGATAAGATCTCAATCACTTCTTTAAGAAAAAATGACAACAGGTGCCAGACCTGGTGCCCTGGTGATTAGTTCAGCACATTCCTCTTCGGCAGCCTGCATTCATTTCCTGGGTGCAGACCTATACTGCTCTGTTGGTGTCATGCTGTGCTGGTGACTCAGATACTAAAAACTAGAGGAAGATTGGCATGGATGTTAGCTTAGGGCAAGTCTTCCTCAGAAAAAAAAAGACAACAAAACTCAGCACCAAACAAGAAAAAACATCTTCAAATTGGTCCCATCTAACAGCAATTTCTGAACTATTTTATGTCGCGATACTCATAGAAAATGGGTACTGCATATTGTACCAATTGTCTCAGCTGCTCTA